GTTTGATGGAGACCGGCTTACATTTACAGCAGTTAAGACTGTAGGACGAAAGAAAAAAAAGAGAAGAGTAAAACTCAATTTAAAAAATAATGAAAACCAGTTTGATTGCAACTTTTTCACTGGAAATGAGGCAAGAATGCTGTAAGAAGTGATGATGCAGAAGGGGATTTCTCTCTTTTCATGGCGGGAAAGATTTTTTTGGATTAAGAGCATTCTCAGAATTCTTTGCATCAGTTCTTTGAGTGAACAACTATTAGAAATCGGCTATTTACTCAATTACAGTATAGTAATATCTTGTTGAAACAAATCTCATTATAACGAATAATCGCTTACAAAGAATTATAATTTTAGTTCCGAGTCCATGAGCCTTAACAAACAAATTTTTATTAAAGACAAAGCTATTTTAATGGTCCCAATGACATTGTTGTGACGATATTTTACTGTACTTACTCAATTACCTTGCACCCTCAGATCAGACACTCACCCAGAATTGTAAACCGATATTAGGATACAAATGACACACACCCCACTTTGAGAGACTTGAAATTCGAAATAATTGGCAATGAAAATCCATCAAAATTCAACTTTGTACTTGAATTATAGTCAAATTAAATGCTAATTTTCCATAATTTCCAATGTTCGAATTGTCTGCGGAAATTGGCTAAAAATTCCATGTTGGATCAAGTACGGGGTGCAACCAAAGCTTGAAAAGTTAAAAAAAATCTTATCCAAACCTATGACGCACACATTTTTTTCTTCTTGATTTAAAAAAAAGGTGACTTTGGAACCTGAGTAAATACGGTATTAATTTGAAGCGTTTGTGAGTCCTGGCCCTTATACGAGACCGGCCTCTGTTGGAGACCTGGCATTTATTAGAGAAAATACAGTACAGTACGTGTATTGATCGACGACATAGACTTATTTTCGAGGATGGAAATTTTAAATGACAATTTAATTGCTGATTTAAGAAAGGGTTGGCTGCTCCTGACCAACACGATATATATTTTTTAATGCAATTATGTTGTGAAAAAGTAATGGAGAATTCCTTTGAACCATTTTTATTTCCATGAGTGAACGTGTGTCTCATGGGGGATCCCGGAGTGGCGAAATCTCAGCTTCTGGCGTATGTTAATCGTCTCACTCCTCGCGGAGTCTACACGACTGGACGAGGATCCTCCGGAGTGAGTGTTTTTTTTTTTTGTTGCTGAAATATTTTGAGGATCCTCGGTTGATCCCTTCTAGTGTAAAACGTCATGATCCGAAGCGTCTATCCACTTGAGAAACTTGTGAAACTATCATTAGATTATGAATGATTCCGGTGCTACAATCTGAAGTACAGTACCTGAACTGAGTGACCTGAAGCCGTGTGGAATTTTTAATAAATGTATATTTAAGACGCCACCCTTGACAACCGCGAAATTATAAAAAAAAAAAAATCTTTTATAATGAGAATGAACATCGGAAACCCCGTTAAAACGTCATCCGCCGAAATTATTGACCCCTGCCGATTAATTTTGTGTTTGATAATTGATACCCCGCGAGCATGATTCATTTTCTGTGAGAGGTTCCATTTTAAAAATAACCCAAACAAAGATGACATAATCTACTTCTTGGGAACATTAGGTAGGTGTAATTTACGCTTCCCGGGGTTATTTTGATTGTTCCCCAAAATAAAGGGTATTTCTCTGATCACAATGACTTCGTTTCAACGAGATTTTATTTTTATGAAAGACGGCGCTGTACTTTCCTGTTGATTAGTGGCGTTGATGCGAGCACATGATTATATTCATGGTGTAAATGTTTGATGAAATGCTCTTATATTTTCCTTTTTTCTATTCATGAAAGGTGGGTTTGACTGCGGCCGTGATGCGGGACCCGCTCACTGGTGAGATGTGTTTGGAAGGTGGAGCCCTGGTGTTGGCGGATCGAGGCGTGTGTTGCATTGACGAGTTTGACAAGATGCTGGACGCTGATCGAACTGCGATTCACGAAGTCATGGAACAACAGACTGTGTCCATTGCCAAGGCCGGCATCCTGACCACGCTGAATGCCCGCACCAGCATCCTCGCTGCTGCGAACCCGGCCTACGGGAGATACAATCCCAAACGATCCCTGGAGGTCAGATGCTTCCTCTATACGGTCGAGCCTCTTCCGAGTCGAATTTCAGAGGATTACCGAAAAATAAAAAAAAAGTAATTGGTGTAGGTTTAGAATTAGAGAAATGAGCATTTTTGTTGAGGGAAAGATAGAAGAAGTGGCAGGAAATTGTGAATGGTGTTATTCCGGGTCTTGAATTGCTTCTTGAATGAGTCGACAGGCAGCTGAACTTGGATGTGAGGTTTCTTGTGCCCCATTAGTCCTTTACTTTCTTTCAAAACGCATCAAGTTACATTTTTGGGTACTTTCCTGTTATCTCTATACCTCATTCCTAGACCGCACTACCATCCAGACAAATTTTTAGGATGAGTTCATAATCATGACGACCTACCAGAAACTGAATTTTATTTTTCCGCATTCTTCTGAAACTGATTTTGGGAGGTGGTTAGGTAAAGTTAGGTCAGGTTATGTTAGTTACAAATATCTTTTGATTAACATAACCTGACCTAACCTAATTATACCTAACTGCCTCCCAAAATCAGTTACAGCAGAAACCTAAAGAAAGCAGAAACTGATTTTGGGAGGTGGTTAGGAGAAGTTACGTTAGGTTAGGTCAGGTTGAATTGGTCAGAGGGAAGGTACAGAGATAAATGGAAAGTAGTTCTTGAGATAACAGGAAAGTACCCATTTTTGTTGCTGTTTTCTTTCCTATGTCCAGAAAATAATGGCGGAAAGGCCTCAGAAAATTCGTTTGAGAGGTAAAGCCTTCAATTTAGTGAGGTTTTTGCTGCATTGGTTCTAATAGAATTCAGCCGAAAATAAAATATCGAATTTGGGAGGTTTCGATTTATCGAGGTTCAACTGTATAATTTTTTTTATTACCTTTTCACGAAATTTGCTTAATGGGGTTTCAAAAAATTGTGTTTTTGGCATTGTCACCAGGCAAACATCCAGCTGCCTGCAGCCCTCTTGTCTCGTTTCGACCTCCTCTGGTTGATCCGGGATCTGCCGGACCGGGACAACGACTTGCGACTCGCGGCCCATGTGGCCTACGTGCACAAGAACAAGCGAGAGCCGCCCATGGCCACGGAGCCCCTGTCCATGGCGTCCATGCGCCGGTACTTGGCCCGCTGCAAGGCCATCAACGCCGTCATCCCCAAACACCTCACCGAGTTCATTGTGAGCACTTATGTGGAGCTGAGGAAGGAGGCGCGGAATGACAAGAATGCCACGTTTACGAGTGCCCGGTCTTTGTTGGCCATTTTGCGTCTCGCTACTGCTTTGGTGAGTTTCATTTTTATTTACCCACCGGGTATTGTGTAGAATATAAAAACACTTTTATGTTGAAATATCAAACTTTTATCCGTCGTTTGATGGAGACCGGCTTACATTTACAGCAGTTAAGACTGTAGGACGAAAGAAAAAAAAGAGAAGAGTAAAACTCAATTTAAAAAATAATGAAAACCAGTTTGATTGCAACTTTTTCACTGGAAATAAGGCAAGAATGCTGTAAGAAGTGATGATGCAGAAGGGGATTTCTCTCTTTTCATGGCGGGAAAGATTTTTTTGGATTAAGAGCATTCTCAGAATTCTTTGCATCAGTTCTTTGAGTGAACAACTATTAGAAATCGGCTATTTACTCAATTACAGTATAGTAATATCTTGTTGAAACAAATCTCATTATAACGAATAATCGCTTACAAAGAATTATAATTTTAGTTCCGAGTCCATGAGCCTTAACAAACAAATTTTTATTAAAGACAAAGCTATTTTAATGGTCCCAATGACATTGTTGTGACGATATTTTACTGTACTTACTCAATTACCTTGCACCCTCAGATCAGACACTCACCCAGAATTGTAAACCGATATTAGGATACAAATGACACACACCCCACTTTGAGAGACTTGAAATTCGAAATAATTGGCAATGAAAATCCATCAAAATTCAACTTTGTACTTGAATTATAGTCAAATTAAATGCTAATTTTCCATAATTTCCAATGTTCGAATTGTCTGCGGAAATTGGCTAAAAATTCCATGTTGGATCAAGTACGGGGTGCAACCAAAGCTTGAAAAGTTAAAAAAAATCTTATCCAAACCTATGACGCACACATTTTTTTCTTCTTGATTTAAAAAAAAGGTGACTTTGGAACCTGAGTAAATACGGTATTAATTTGAAGCGTTTGTGAGTCCTGGCCCTTATACGAGACCGGCCTCTGTTGGAGACCTGGCATTTATTAGAGAAAATACAGTACAGTACGTGTATTGATCGACGACATAGACTTATTTTCGAGGATGGAAATTTTAAATGACAATTTAATTGCTGATTTAAGAAAGGGTTGGCTGCTCCTGACCAACACGATATATATTTTTTAATGCAATTATGTTGTGAAAAAGTAATGGAGAATTCCTTTGAACCATTTTTATTTCCATGGTGAAAGATTGAAAGTCCTGATTTTAATAATAAATGTTGGAGAAGAATAAGCTGGTGAATGGAGAATAAATAAAAATCAACGTATTCCGTCTTGATATTGGAGAGATGGAATGTTTGGTGATGGAAGTGCGTTCTCTATTAGCAAGCAGTGGTTGTTTTATATTACAGTACTTGTGCTCAATGCTCATTGCCTCCACCTTTTTTTTTTTTTTTCTTTATTCAGGCGAGGTTGAGGCTGAACACGGAAGTGACGAAGCCGGATGTTCTGGAGGCTGTCAGACTGATGACCATGTCGAAGGATTCCCTGGTTCCGGATCCGTCTCGTGTCGGAAGGGCCCAATCTGTGACTGACGTGATCTACGCACTCATTCGAACCATGGGCGAGGAAACCAGAACGCTCAAGATTTCCGACATCAAGGACCGTTGCGCTGCCAAAGTGCGTCTCACACAATTTTTTTGTGTCTATTATTTGTGGTTTATTTTCTATTCAACCGTACTGGACGTCTTCATCCGATTTTTGTTGCGTTTTAACTTTGTTTTGATTCTTGAAATATGATAATTTGAGAATGAAATGATCAATGAATTCATTCTTGACGTCCCTTGGCTAATTATAATGAATTCATCATAACGCTGAAAGTTTTTTCTGAGTCCGGAGGGCGTCATTTTAACGAGGTTTTACTGTATATGCAATTTTTGATGGATGATTTGCGGAGGCGATTTTATTTACTTGAAGGCGATGAATAAATTTGTGAAATAAATAGTAATGCACGCACGAGGTTTATCGAAAGTTCTACGAATCACGATAAAATTGTCTTCTCTGTCAAATAAAGTGTAAGTACAGTATCCATTTTTAGGGAAACTCTGTACGATTGGACGACCATTCAAGAATGCTTATCAGCGTGATCATTGCTCAGTGAGCTTATGTAGTATCAATAACTACTATTTACAATCCCGAAACAAATGACTGCTGATGTTCAAAAAATAAATCTTATTCATTTTTTTTTCGTGTAGGGCTACAAGGCGAACCAAGTGGACGAATGTCTGGAATTATATCAAGAGTTGAACGTGTGGCAGATCAACACCCAGAAGACACGACTGACCTTCATTTAAATACGATTCCAGATTTCTCTTTTTTTTTTTTGTGAATTCCTGCACGGGTTTTTATTTTTTAGACCATCTGTTTTTCATTTGTTTTATCATACGATTTTTCACGTTCAACTGTTTAAATAATGTATATTTTCTTCGAATGATCGATTCTTCTGAAACGAGTTTTCCTTCTTTTCCGAAAATGAAGTATAATATTATTTCAGTTCTTGTGTTGAATTTTTTTTTTTGGATTGGCGTTTTAGTGGTTGGTGTAATTTTGTAGAAGGTGTTTTTGCGCTTCTGTAGAATGGATTGGGTAGATGCTTTCGTGAGTTGATTTGCACTGGGAAGTGGTTTGCGCCCTGGATTTGTGTGATGAACGATTCCCGCGTGGGTTGTTTGTGTCCTTCCGGGGTTATGTCCGAGAAAAAACTTTCCTGTTGCTGTGGGATGACGTCGTGTAGAACTTGGGCGGGTGAGTTTGACCGTGTCTTTCTTCTTCTTTCGCGGTTAAAAGGGTCTCTCCGGAAATTTCTCGCCAAGTTTTTGCGCGAAATCAATGGGAAACGAGGTGCTATTTTTTTTGCATGGGTCCTCAAATAATTTTTGCGATTATCTTTTTACAATGCGGAAGCATGAGGGTCTTCCCGAAAATATTTGCGAAATTATTGTGCGAAATCAATGTTAACCGATGAGCTTTTTTTTTCGTTTAAATGGTACTCGTCATTTTTGCAATTTAATTTTTACAATTCTGAAAAGTATGATGGTCTTCTCGAAAATGTTTGAAAAATTATTACGCGAAATCAATGTCAACTGATGCGCTATTTATTTCTCGTATGAGTCTCATCTTTTTTGTAATTATAAATTTTTTTTAATGAACTGAGAATGCAATTTTGAGTATACAGAAGTACGTACTGTAGAATATTAGACTTTCTATCCCAAAAATAGTAATTATCACTGCCACATTTCATTTCCAGTAGAAATTGTCTCATGGTCTTCGAGGTAATTATAAATTATCTCAGGGTTGCTTCTAAAATAAATTGACAGCAAAAACTATCACTGCGATTACTCAAGTACCTAGTTCACCTTTTTTTCAAAAGACCTGGGTTTTTTGTTGATAATTATTTTGGTGCTTGAAGAATTAGTAGAACATGAGCATAAGATATAATAATGTACAGTACTAAATTACTGTACAGTACAGTACTTTCCAAATGTGTTGAATATGCACAAATGGGTCTTTTGTTAATAATTATTTTGGTGCTTGAAGAATTATTAGAACATGAGCATAAGATATAATAATGTACAGTACTAAATTACTGTACAGTACAGTACTTTCCAAATGTGTTGAATATGCACAACTGCAATATGTAGTGATGCAATTTTGGTTGAACTAATTGAGAATTATTAGAACATGAGCATGAGAAATATTACTGCACTTTTTAAATGTGTATCGCATTTTTCTAAGTTTTAAAATGCAAATTACTTTTCTTTGTACTCAAAAAAAAATCTCGTTATCGAGAATAGAACAGATGAAAGTTTTTTCCCGATGATACTTCGAACAGGGACCTTCCAACATTTTTGGGAAGACCCCTTGAATGATAATTTTTCCCCGTGCTGCGCAGAACCCAGTTTCCCCACGGGACGGTTTCTCTGCCTTTGACGTATGATGGGAATGAGTTGAGCAAATGAGTAAAAAAAAAATCAGTGTATTTTTGGTTGTATTTCCCGCATTATAATAACTTTTACAGTTGGTTTTTCTTTTTCGGTAACCACCATCAGATCATTTCCGACTTTTTCGGATGAAAGTTTCCGTCTGTTGAGCGTCTCTTCAGATGTGCGCTTTTATAGATTTCTTGTCGTTTTGAGCTTCTCAGGTCGCATCGAACTGCAGCAGCACCATTTCATAGGTCACCACTGCTGAAACAATCTGGAAATTTAGAAAAAAACGAATTTATCATATATGTACAGCACAGTTGTATTTTATTATTTTTACCAATTTTTTTCATTTATACCTGGACAAAGCGGAAATTTTAAACTTTTTTCCATTTCTTCTGAGCAGGCAGAAAATTAGTGTTGGCTTTCTGACACATTTTGACATTTTCCTTGAAAATTCAGGGCAAAAAATGTGAAATAATTCCCTATTCTAAAGATATACAGTAGTTTCTAATGACCTGATCAGTAATCGAAAACATTTTGCTAGGACCAGAAAAAAATTCATTTTATGTAGAGGTTAATGGTAAAGACATTTCTGTTTTGGTGAGTACAGTTAATGGACCCTTTAATTGTTTTACAATATGCTGAAGTTGACACCAATTTTTGCCTCTGTTAGACATTGCTGATTTTTACACAGTTGGATTTCATTCTAAAAAAAAATTCCTACTAGGAAGGAATTTTTAAAAGCCTTTGCTGTTTAAAAGCACAATATAAAATATCAATGAAACAAATTTGTTCAGAGCATAGAAGTAATATTTTTCCAGGATCCAATTGCTTTGTTGTCACAAAAATTCATCTCTTGATACATGTCTTCATGTCAAGCACTACAGTATATCTGTTTTTAAAATAAAATCAAAGTTGCTCTGGGAAATGTGGCTGCCTGTATATTGCTTTTAAAATTTTATGAAATTTTTGAATGCATTTCATCAGCATTGTTGTATTGAATTTTTTTGTTTTCTTCCTTCCTGAGTATTTTTGCTGTCATTGTGCTGTAGTACTTTTGATGTACTAGGTAATGTTTACTACATGTAATGTCTACCATGGAACGTTAAACTGGAGGGTGTTAAGTTGACAGGACGTTAAACTACCAGTTTAAACGTGTCTCCAATTAAACTTTAAAATGGGAACGGGTCGTTAAGTTGCTGCTTTGGCCATTTTTAACATTTTTGTACTTATATTTTACTTTAAATACCTCACAGAACGTTAAACTGGTTAAACGTCAAACAGGGATCAAACCGTTACATAGTCCCAACTTAACGTTCCATGGTGCACATAACCCCTGAAAAATATTAAGGGTCGTCATTAGTCGTATGCATTTTTTCTGGAAATGAACCTTTCCCTGGGGGAATGCCTCAGTCCATCAACAAATACACCACTGTGCCCATGTGCAGGTGATACAAAAGGTTTTAAAATTTTTTCTTTGTACATTGTACTTCAATGTCCAATTTGACTGTATTGAAACTTTATGCAGGTGAAGAGCTGAAGTCAAATTTTAAATGGCCTTGAAATGCCTTTGGTTTCTTGTTGCAAGAAATGCATTTATGATTTGATTCACCCCAAGAATGAAAGTCCTAGTGATGAGGAACAACCCACTACCAGTCAATCCAACTGGATAAGTGACCATGTGGTCCAGGAACCTCCTGGCCTGCAATTGCAAAAAAAAGGTTGAAAATTATTTTCAAATGGAAGTGTGGAGCAAATAACACACACACACAATCTCACCTCAGAATTGTAAACCTCAGAGCTTGGGCAAGAGTGGACATACTGAATGGCTTGTTGGCTTTCATCATGAATCCTTGCTGCAGCCACTGACACTGCCATAGCTCTGACCACAAGGTGCAAAAAGGACCAGGCAAAATATGCCTTCCTTACAACCCCACCTGATGTTGGCCTGTTAATGAGGATGAAAAAAGAAAAAGACACCATTGTTGTATAGCTGGATGAGAACAGGAATATGCTTTTTTTTTTAGGTGCATCTTGTGCAGGCTTTTCCCCCTCAGATCAGTCTGTCCTTTGCCATGGTTACTATAGACACATCTTGTCAGTGTCTTTTTCAAGGTTCAAAATATTATATACATATATTATTATTATAATATATTAGTATAATATAATAATATATAATGTATTATTATATTATATTATTATTATTATTAAATATTATTATATTTTGTTTGGAAAATTCCCCTGATGTATTTTTTTTGCATTGATGCTTTTACTTGGAAAGGGTTTTTCCAGTTATCATATTTGTTTGCATAGCTTTTGTAAAAATTGACAGAAAATTCATGCAGAGGAATCATTTCTATGAGTCTTATTCAGGGGCCAATTTTCAAAACATTTTCAAACTTAATAATGTGAGTTTCAATGTTATGGTGATATTTTTTCTCAACAGTATTAGAATAGAAGAATACCTTTTGTGTGTTTAAAATACAGTATATCCATGGTCAATTACTATTTTCTGGAGGAAAAATTAGTAAATGCAAGAACCTCCAGAGACATTTTATTTTGAAAAATAATCAAAGAAGTGATGAATTTTGTATGATTTGACCTTCCAGTGGTCAAGTAACTTCATTCAAGGTATCAAGGTTTAACAAACCCAAATCAGGATCTGTTGATGTATCTGAAGCCCCTTTTTGTTAATTTCAGCAATGCAATCTCCTTATTATTGTCAAGTGCCCTGCTGTCTTGAGAAGTGTAAAACTTTTTGAGAAAGAGTTGAATAATCTGAAGAAGTGATGAATATGGTCTATGGTGGTCAACATGCTGATCATCAAATCCAATTTCAGCATTCCACATCAATTCTAGGTCAAGGTTTTCCTAAATAAGGCTCTGGAGATATCTGAAGTCATTTCATTTTTTTTCCAGATCTCCAACATCCTTGACAAGTCTTTTGCCATCTTGAGAAATTGCAATTTTGTTTTCCAGTCACAATTCCATCTATTTGACCTCCATCTTGAGAAATTGCAATTTTCTTGTCCAATCACAGTTTCATCTATTTGACCCGCACCTGATTGTGATTTTCTTGGAAAACAGAGATAGAATAAATTGTATCTTATCAGAAGAATAAAGAATCTGTGCGCATAAGTGTTGTGACCTGTTGACGTGTATTTGGCTTATCAGAGCCATCACTGCTTTCTCTATGCAAATGTGGGAAGCTCCTCTTGTGCGCAACAGACCAGCACTCAATATGTAGATTAAAACCCCCCCCCCTCTTTCTACTGCGTAAAACTGTTCTTTGAATAACAAACTCTTTTATAAGCTTCCAAAGGATGGATCATCTATTGTTAGTCCCACCCCCTTTCAAAAAAAATAAAATAAAATAAAGAGTGAGGGAAAATCAAGTGTCTGTCACTGTGTTGTTG